ACCTCTGCCTCCCTGGTTCAAGCAATTCTCCTGACTCAACCTTCCAAGTAGCTGGAACTACAGACACGTGCCACCAAGTTTGGCTAATTTTTTTTTTTTTTTTGTATTTTTAGTAGAGATGGAGTTTCACCATTTTGCCCAGGCTGGTCTTGAACTCCTGACCTCAGGTGATCTACCCACCTTGGCCTCCCAAAGTGCTGGGATTACATGAGTGAGCCACTGTGCCCAGCCTCATAGCCTCATAGCCTAACTTTGAAACTGATGTGGCATGTGGTTCTATAGTGAAGTGGTTATCACATCTGCTTTAAACACAGAAGGTCCTGGGTTCAAGTCCCAGTGGAACTATGGTGTGATCTACTGTTTTCCCACCTGTAGTCCCAGCTCCTTGGGATGCTGAGGCAGAAGAAGAGAATCACTTGAACTCAGACACAGACGTTGCAGTGAGCTGAGATCTGGGGAAACTCTGTCTCCAAAAAAAAAAAAAAAAAAAAACAAAGTCATAGAGTGTCCCTTTGCCACATTCATTTGTCAAGGCAGTCAAAAAGTCTCGCCGGGGGTTCAAGGGGAGGGAAGTAGACTCTACCTCTTGAAGGGAGTGGTAAAGTTCTGCAAGAAGAGGTGGGAGTGGAAATGTGGGAGCCCCTTTCAGACATGGGCTCTGCCATGTTTCCCTTTCCTGAGTTACTGGAATGGCCTCATCACTGGCCTTGCTACTTACACTTCTTTTTTTTTTTTTGAGACAGAGTTTTGCTCTTGTTATCCAGGCTGGAGTATGATGGCATTATCTCAGCTCACTGCAACCTCCACCTCCTGGGTTCAAGCGATTCTCCTGCCTCAGCCTCCTGAGTAGCTGGGATCACAGGCGTGCACCACCACATCTGGCTAATTTTGTGTTTTCAGTAGAGACGGGGTTTCTCCATGTTGGTCAGGCTGTTCTCGAACTCCCCACCTCAGGTGATCTGCCCTCCTCGGCCTCCCAAAGTGCTGGGAGTATAGGCGTGAGCCACCATGCCCAGTCCCACTTTGTTGTTGTTGTTATTGTTTTTGAGATAGAGTCTCGCTTTGTCACCAGGCTGGAGTGCAGTGGTGTGATTTCAGCTCACCTCAACCTCTGCCTCCTGGGTTCAAGTGATTCTCCTGCCTCAGCCTCCCGAGTAGCGGGGATTACAGGCACCTGCCACCACGCCTGGCTAATTTTTGTATATTTTTTAGTAGAGGTGGGGTCACCATGTTGGCCAGACTTGTCTTGATCTCCTGACCTAAAGTGATCCGCCCGCCTCAGCCTCCCAAAGTGCTGGGATTACAGGCGTGAGCCACCACACCCAGCCTACTTCTACTTTTGTACTTCCCTTTCTGTGGCTCTCACAGAGCAGCTTGGGAAAACCAGAAACAGATTAGCTTGTGCCCTTCCCTGCCTCTTACTTCTCAGGGTCGAACCACCAAGGAAGCCAGGCAGACAGCCCAGTCTCTTGCCACAGACGCCTCTCACTCAACCTCTCTTCACGCCCCAGGCCTCCTTTCAGTTCCTTAAACAAAACAGACCAAGCCAATTTCCTTCCACCTCAGTGTCTTCCTGGAAATTTCTTTTCTCGACTTGTCATGAGTTTGATTCCTGTTCATTCTTCTTGCCCCAGCCTAAATGTCTCTCCCTGGACAGGCGCCATCGCTGATTCTGTTCTAAAAACCCTTCCTGAACTCCTGTCACGTCACTTGTGCCAACGTGGATGAAGCTGCAGAATGTGATGTTAGGGTGAGGCAAGCCAGGCACGGAGAGACAAACACTATAAGATCTCACTCATATGTGGCCTCTAAAAACAACAAACCTGGCGGGGCACAGTGGCTCACGCCTGTAATCCCAGCACTTTGGGAGGCTGAGGTGGGCAGATCATGAGGTCAAGAGTTCGAGACCAACCTGACCAACATGGTGAAACCCCGACTCTACTAAAAATACCAAAATTAGCCAGGCGTGATGGCACACACCTATAATCCCAGCTACTCAGAAGGCTGAGGCAGTAGAATCTCTTGAACCCGGGAGGTAGACGTTGCAGTAAGCCGAGATCGTGCCATTGCACTCTAGCCTGGGTGGCAGAGGGAGACTCTGTCTCAAAAAAAAAAAAAAAAAAAAGCCACAGGGCTCTGGGTGGTAAAGGACAGGTTGGCAGAATGGATGGACCGCA